AAATAAATGACCTCCTGTTGGTTCATCCTGAAATTACACCACTTGGCCTCAATTAAAGGGAACTAAACGAGATAGAAACCCAGTTAAGAAGAATCTTCAGAGGTTCTTTTCGCTTCTTTTCCATACATGTTTTTCATTTACCACAGACCCCAAAATGGAACTGGAATTTCTCTGGAGAGGTGCTAGAAGAGCTCCACTCACTACCCTTGCCTCAGACAATAACAGGAAATCAGGCGCAAGTTGGGGCTTCTAGGGGCATAATATCATGCCACGTGGTGTCTCTTTGCTGAAGCTCAGCCTAATACAAAGCAATTCTTACCCTTAGCAGGAACCTAGCAGGCAAGAAATAAAATAGACTCCAGTCAAATGGAAAAGTGTCCTTCTCCAGTTTACTATGCACCTCCGTAACTCCCTCCACCCAAAGATCTCAGAGCACTTTACAAAGAATGAGGACTAAAGCATCATTATCTTATTTCGGTCCCTTTTTGGTTTATAACACCCCCAACCCCTATTAGATCAACTTTCCAGATAGGTGCAGAGGTTACATTGCTTGCCCAAGAAATCGCAGTGAGTCAGCGGCAGAGCTAGAATTAGAATCCAAGAGTCCTGACTGCCGCTACCCCACTGTCTGCTATATACACTTGCACACCCTTTATGACAGCCTCATGTTGGGACTGCGCTCCTACACAATGACCCCATGGAAGTTCTGGGAGGCCTTGTGCATCAGGCAAGCATGCTTACTGATACGTCCTTGGAAGGACGCAGCATGCATTCCCTTCCGTGACAGCCATAGTCTCCCACTCCCTTTGGAGAAGCTAGTGCCACCAATGACACTGGCCTCACATGGTACTGTACTTAGGAGAGCACAAGGACCCCTGCACTGGGGCACAAGAGAGATGAGGTTCCTTGTGCCCTTTCTCCTTTGCACACCCATGCAGGGCTTGGCACAATCATGCCACATGTCTTTAGTTATGTGTGTCTGATATAACTAAGCACCCCCACCCAAAGGAAGCACCACATGTACTCCTGGTGCCAGATGGACCTGGTTTTTGCACTTAGGGTAACCAGACAACAAATGTGAAAAATCAGGACAGGGGGTGGGGGTAATAGGAGCCTATATAAGAAAAAGACCCAAAAATCGGGACTGTCCCTATAAAATCAGGACATCTGGTCACCCTATTTGCACTTATGTTATTTGTGCATCAATATGGTACATCAGGAAACCCATCTGTTAATTAGACTCCAAAGTCCTAGCACTGTCCCAGAGTGTGAGGAGGATATTTTTTAATGTAAATGGAAGAATACCGATGGATGCAATTACTGACATTTCCAACTAAAAGGGACTAGGGCAGAGAAGAGAGGACTTGAGGGAACTGTTACTGATACAAGTAGCTTTTCCTCACTAATTCACCAACTCAACCCAGGGAGCCAAATCTTACTCTTACTGAAATCAATGAGAGTTTTGTCATTGATTTCAATGGGAGCAGGTCCCTAATGACTGGTAATCATTGGCATTTGATGGCTTTACAGCCATCTATATAAAATAGGTTTGTGGTCTCAGGAGGCCGTCAGATCACCAACATATTCTACACATGACTGGCCACCAAGCAGCCTTCAAATGGTAATGCCTTTCAGTGCCTGTTGATCACAAATGATCTGATCTGGTGATGAACAGATGAAAGGCTGTAGATGCCATACCAATTCCTCAACTTCTCCAGATCCCCTATTTTATGTATTTTATTTCTAGTGCCCAGGTTTCTTTTCAACTTTGGTGGAGGTCACCCCAGAGCCCCTGTGCTGGTCAGACTGGTACTGATCTCCTGAGGGCTAGAATGTGGCTCAGAGCACCTACTACAGCCCTATGTGCTGGTGCAGAATGCTGCCCCCAGCAGGCCAGCCCTGCTCTGTGGAGCCATGAGCTCCCCTCCTCCATCCACTTTTCAGCATCCTGTTCCCTGTGTGGGCAGGAAGTGGGCTGAACTGAGACTGACCCAGCTGGAGAGCCAGGGTCAGAGGACTAAACGACAGACGAAGAGTCTCCAGGAAGCGCTGCTCCATCCCAGGGCAGGAACCTTCGCATGTAAGCTGGCCAACTAAGGTACTGAGATAGACTCTGTTGGTCAGACTGAGGACTGAGCCTGTGGAGGGCTGCAGAGATATGACTAACTGAGGGTACCGTGATGGGCACTGTTGGACTGTTAAAGGACTGAGCTGGGAAGAGCTGCAGTACATTACCGAGTGCTTTGAGATAGGCCTGGTTGGACAGTATACCCCGAAAGGGATTTGCTTTGTTTAGTTTCACACAGGCCTGTGTGGGACTCAGCCAGAGGGCTGAGTCACGGAAGATCCACCTGATGAGCACAGCAGCTGACAGGGGGCACTGTGAGTGGAGGAAATTGAGAAAAACTGCAGGCATGCACACACTCAACTGGGGGGGAGGGGCTTGTAAGAGGAGGGTGACACCCCTTTATACAAAGTATTCATGATCTGCCTCTCCGACAAACTTTCTAGGTGCTCTGAACTCCCCTTAGGCAGCGATACTGCATAGAGATCCCTAGAGCAGAGCTTTCCACCTGGGATTCCAAGCAAGGGGTTCTGCAGGACTGACTGGGTCACTGAAGCCAGGAAGCTCTGCACAGCATGTTCTTGGGGGTCCAATACAAACAGGAGACCTGACCTGCCTTTCATGGTTGGAACACTGCAGCACAGCAACTTCTCAAGTACCTGTTGGTAGGGCTGAAGATGAAAAAAGCACTGGCATCCGGCATGGGCACAGCCTTCTCTTTGAGGTGCAGTTCAGACATTGGGCGTGGCCGAGGGCCGACAGGCATTTCAGGCTCCTCCTCCTCTTCCTCTGCTGTAAGGAACAGTTGGTTTTTTTAATGCTATGGAGTAGCAGTAACTGGTTCACTTGAGTGCAGAGCACTTTATGTACCCAGAAGTTTCAGTTACTTCTCTGGGTTGAACTACAGCTAGAAACTTCTCCTCTTGCATTATATGAGCCCTGCACAGAGCCAACACCTTGCCTGAGGTTGTGTCAAGATGAGTGAGTGTGTGCCACTGAGAAAACACTAGGGATGGCCGCTCTGTCGAAACACCAGTCAGAAGTTCTCAGAATTGCCATTTTTTAGAATTCAAGAGAGAGAAGAATTGAAAGGCTGGAGACAAAGATAAAACTCTTGAACCAAGTTCCTAAGAAGCAGAGCTGCAGGCACTGCACAGATCAGTGACTAACCCGCAAGGAAGAAATGCAGAGATGGGGGCTTTGGGCCTTATGGGGAAGGTTTGAAAGAGAACTTTTACCCTTTGAGGATTTCAAGCCCCTGCTGAAGTCAGACGTTGCTTTGTGCATGGTGCAATAGCATTTCCCTTCATTTAGTTAGTAAGAGAGGTAGAAATGCTGAAAGATGGGTGAGATTACTGGCTACACACAACAACATTCATCTTCCGGCCAACGCCTATGAGGCAATTCTACTGTAATAAAATAGTTTCTTTGGCCCACACAAAATGAGATAAATTCCAGGTAGACTCTAGATCCGCATTCTGCTTTCTTTCTCCTTCCCTTAGGGCCAGTCACTGTGCTTGGCTGGGCTTTCAACACATTAGGAAATGCAGATGAATCAGCTCATACCTTAATCTTGGTGCATAGCTACTGGGGACAGGAGAAAAGCAGCCTTTTCAATGCATAACCCGAGTGCACACAAATGGGCTTCTCTCTCTCCACACCTCCGTTAGCAGGAATTCAGCTCAGAGGGTTTTGGATAAATGTTTGCGTTCGGTACACAGAGCACGTACCTTTTAAAACAAGTTTATTTCTGTAACAGCTCATGCTTCTATCGTATTGGATCTTGTAATACACTGGAAGTTTATATTTTTCACAAACTCTATGGGTTTAAGAAACATTCTTTCATGTGTGCTTTTCTGTATAGTCCATGTAAAGGAGGTGATGAGGTTAATGACTGTAATAATACTATAATTGTAACACTTGGCACTTTTTTGTGCTTTTCATATGAGGATTTCAAAGTTATTGACAAATATTAATGAACTGACTCTCACAAATTTCCTATGAGGTAGATAAGTAGATGACCTTGTTTGACAGATGGGGAAACTGAAGAAGAGGTTAAGCAACTTGCCCAAACTCTCACAGGATGTCTGAGAGTTGGGATTTGATTTTTTTCTGTAGCTGAACTAGATTGGAAGATTTGCACCCTGTTTTACCTTGATGAATCGCTCATCATCATCATCGTCTTTCTACTATATGTAAACTCACTGATGGTGCTGATCTCTTTCAGAGACTCAGCAGAGGAAGGGGGCAGAGTGGTGAGTTGCATAATAAGTGTTCTGAGGATCAGTGGTGATGGAGGTTTGATGCTGGATTGTGTAGTAGATACTGTAAGAGGAGGTTAGTGGGAGTGAGGCAGGTGAAGCTGATGGAAGAGTGAGTGGGGAGGTTTTAAGAATAAAGGTACAGCTAGAGGGAAACACATGAAATGACCATTTCAAATCATTTTCAGGCACTGGGTGAGCGTGAGGGATTTTAGAGGGTGGGATGATGGTGTCTGTGAGAGGATCACTGGAATTAAGAGATTAAGCCATCGATTGATAGTTGGTAGAAACAGCTGATTGCAGATGAGAAAAGAGAACATCTAGGAAAATTGGAGTACTCCAGTCTAGGCACAGCTAAAGTACATCCACATGCAGGCAGTGGGCAAGAAGAGGTCTGAGATCAGGTGTTGTGTCAGATAGACAGGATATGGACACACAGCCCCTCATGTAGCACAACAGGCTTGGTTAGCTAAGAGGACGAGGAGCCCATAATGTCAGGTGGTCACAAGGAAGCTGATAAATAGGAGGGAGAAATACAAGTGATTGGAATAATTACTTCCTAATAGGCAGAGGAAGCCCTGGACCAAATTTTTTGAGAACCAATTGTCCTAGGCCCTAGAGGGGTTCTGTGGGGTCAGAGTTTCACACAACAGCATGAGAAGACCATATAGAATAGAATGTCATAGATTATAATATGCAGTGTTGTCGTAGCTGTGTCGGTCCCAGGATAATAGAGAAACAAGGTGGGTGAGGTAACATCTTATTGAACCAACTTCTGTCTCTTTTACCAAAATAAGTTGGTCCAATAAAAGATATGACCTCACCCACCTTGTCTCTCTAATAGATTATTATAGTAAATTTGGTCTAATAATAGATAACAGATTCCTAAAAATATACCTGAACATATGAAAAATTTCAAATCACCTGACCTTTCTCATTTGCTTTTTGATTTGAGGGACCCAAGAGAAGCAGCCAGGAAATTGCAGGGCTAATAGCTATCATTTTCACAAATCACTAAGATCAGGAGTGGTACCAGAGGACTGAAGAAGAGCAAATGTAATTCCAATTTTCAAAAAGGGTGAAAAGAACAATTCTGGGAACTACCATACAATTCACTTCACTTTAATAAAGGGTACAATACAACAGCAAATAACCATGCAGCTGATCTGTTAGCATTTCACTGATACCACCACCAGGGACAATTGGCAGCATGAGTTTTCGGAAAACTGATCATGTCAGGAAAATCTGTATTCTTTACTCATATTTAGGGCTAGCTTTGCTGGCACACCAAAGAGGGTGAGGGGAGAAGTGTTTTTACTTCACTTTTTTTGCCCCCCAATCGTGGAGGCTGCTGTGACTGCATCAGCCATTGACACAAATTTGAGGCATCTCAGAACTTGGATAATTATAATAAGAAAAATAATTTGATCCAATATGATCAAACTGTTATTACTTTAGGAACTAGAGCCTCTCCTTCCTGGATCAGTGGTAAGGAAAAGGGGATGGGATGTACCTGGAGCTTCTGTAGTAGGATATGGGTTCTTCTCTTCATTTTCATTGGGCTGATAATCATCCACATTGATCTGACAAAACAGAGGAGACAGAGACAAAGCCCTGGTCAGACAGTGCCCTGACTTTTTGTTCACTCAGAAATCTGAACTGCTTATAGCACATTGGGTGGTAAGAGATAGCAGACCTTGGTAGTAGGCGGGGACTCTCCATCAGCAGTGATAGATTTCAGCTCAATTTTCTCCTCCTTTGTCTCCTCCTCCACAGCTGGTTTCTCAATCTCCTGTTTCTTTTCAGGACTAGCGGTCCTAACAATTCAACAGGATGAAAAGCAAACATTTACAAAGGGGAAAAGGGGTTTCCCTTTCAGAAATCATAGAATCATAGAATATCAGGGTTGGAAGGGACCTCAGGAGGTCATCTAGTCCAACCCCCTACTCAAAGCAGGACCAATCCCCAAACAGATTTTTGCCCCAGATCCCTAAATGGCCCCCTCCAGGATTGAACTCACAACCCTGGGTTTAGCAGGCCAATGCTCTAGTGCAGTACAAAACATGACAATAATCAGCTGGCATCTCCATTCTGCGTCTGGCATATATGCCAGCAGGCTCCTCCTTCCTAATGGCTGGAAAGGCAACATCAGTGACAGTATCTTCAGAGCTTCCTAGTGATGTATGCGTGCGTGCGCGCTCACATTTGACCACAGGCCTACGGCTTTGACCACAGGCCTTCTCTTCACTCACCCAGCTCCCACCAATCACATATACTGTATGAATAGTTTTCAACTCCTAGGCTATGATCCTAAGTTATACTGCCTGCAGATTTTCCTTAATATGGCTCCCAGTTTCACGCCAGCAGTCTGATGGTCTTTGCTGGTTATTTGTGCTCTGCTTGCTATGCCTACTCTTAGGCAGGGCAAATAGACCCCTGATCATAGGAATACTCTGCCAGCTGCAAAGGTGTCCTGCAGAATGATCAGCGTATCAGAGCAGCTCCCCTCTCCAAGCAACCAGAAAGAAGATATGGGGACAAGAAGCAACAGGTGGTGACAGAACATCAAGCTTCCCTGCTGCCAACAGCCAGGAGGAAAGGAGAAAATCTGAGTGAAGCTTCACCCTTAGCAGGAATCCTTAGAAAGCACCACAGGAACTGGGATGAGGAATGGGGGATGTGGCATCACAGGTGAAAAAGTGATTGAATTTTTGGTCTTGGGAAGTAATGGCTAAGACTGTCCCTGATAAACATCAACCACTGAGGGTGGGGTGGGGATCAGAAAATATTAGGGTAGCTCAAATGGGGTCATTGTGTTATCACTTCCTACTTCTCCTCCTCCAACACCATGTTCACTGCACAAGCCCCATCACCCTGCATGCCTCCTCTCTGGTTACACTGTCCCAGCCACAGGAGCTAGTGACATGCTTTAAACCGTATGCTTCAGGGTATTAATGGGGCAGCCTCCTCCACTGAGCATCACCTCCACAATGCTCCCAGCCCAGGTAATTCAAGGAACAGTGAGTTCAGGGTCCCTCTAATAGCTGGGTTTCCCCACACAGCGGTGTAGCATGGTAACCCTAAAGCCTTCCTTTTGCTCCCTCATTTCAACCACTTTAGTTTTTAAAATTATAGCTATAGATGGGTTTACCTAGCTAGTTTTTTCCTTTCTTTTTCCTCTTCCTCTTCTTTCTGAGCAGATGTCAAACTCTCAGCATCGGCAAGATTGTCCACAGCGATAGCCAAAAATACATTCAGCAGGATATCTGTTTGTGTATTTCTGTAAAGAAAATGGGCTTGGAAAACTGTAGACCAGGACAGGGAGAACCGTAATCACCTGAAATGCCAAGCTGCAATTTGATCTCACACAAATGGTTAGGCCACACAGACACATACACATACCCTCCCACCCCCCAGGGCTAACACAATACACTGTGTTTTCAAAACATTCAAAACCTGCCTTCCTGAATTAGGCATCTAAATCCATATGTAGGCATCAAATTCAAAGTGGCCTGTTTTTCAAAAGAGCTGAGCACCCCAAAGTCCCACTGAAGATAATGGAAACTGCACACTTTGAAAAAACAGGCCACTTTTCTTTAAGAGTCTAAATACGTATTCAAGATCCTCATAACATTAGGCACCTGCCTGTGAAAATTTTCGCCTATGTACTTGAATTGAACAACCTCATTAAAGGTCTCCCCACAGACTTGATTGGCCATAATTGACATTACATATAGCATTGTCATTAACAGTGTATCTCTAAGGGGACCAAAGTGAAATTCATTATAGCTGAGTGCTGAGGGAATCATTTGGCAGCTCTGTCAAGTCCCAATGTAAGCCCATGCATGTAAGGTATTCAATACAAAGCAATCACGCTCAAATAACTTGAGGGGCCTGGATGGACAAGCTAGGAAATTTGGAGCTGGAGTTGTAGCTTCATCCTTTCCCTTGTGTCTAGATCAATCACTGTTCAGAGACCCCCTCTACCACAAAGTTGAATTTCAGTTTCTCTTATGTATCAGAGGGGTAGCTGTGTTAGTCTGGATCTGTAAAAAGCAACAGAAAGTCCTGTGGCACCTTTAAGACTAACAGTTGTATTGGAGCATAAGCTTTCGTGGGTGCATACCCACCCCGTCTGACAAAGTGGGTATTCACCCACGAAAGCTTATGCTCCAATACATCTGTTAATCTTAAAGGTGCCACAGGACTCTCTGTTGCTAGTTTCTCTTATGAATTCCTTGGTGTAGGTTCTTATTACAGCATAATCCTATTTAAGTGAATTCCAGTTAAAGACTTGTATTGTAAATATACAGAACCCTCTTGGACTATCACCGTGCTGTGGGGTCAAGGGCCCAAAATGCAGCCTTCCAAAGCCAGCTGGCTTGCAAAGCTGGCTGATGTTTTCCTTTTCACTGTTTACAGGGGGACCTGAATTGCAACCTTTTCTAAGATGACAGACTGCCGCCCTCGACCTTCAGATAAATGGGATTGCACTATCTCACTTTGAAGAGAGGGCAGCACAGGGCAACAGAGATGTCAGACACCAGGGTCTGAGAGATCTAAATTATGAAGAAAGGTCAAAGGAGTTGGGATGAGTCTACAAGGTGATTGCGCAGAAGAATCAGCAGGAAAAATGTATCATCTCTGGGGAGGGGATCATCCATTAGGGGAACACAAACTAAACCAGAAGGAACTAATAGCAGACAGGGATTTAGGACAGATCTACAGTCATGTACTTCATGCAAACTCAAGTGGAAAGGACAGCTGTGTTTCATATACACACGGCCCTCTGTGCAATGTGCTGAATATCTCCTGGAGTGTGATCAGTACCTTCAATCCTCACTGAAGTCAATGGGTATTAACGGGTGCTCAACACCAGCTCAGACCCATAGGTAACAGGGTATAGAGTTTTTATATCTGTTATACAAGTAGAGTGTAATATATGAAAGGAGATCTCTATCATATTGGTGTATAAATGAGTTAATGTAGGATCTCACATAAAAGCTAATCTGTGAAACATGCTACTTTTATAGCATTTGTATACTGTATACTGTAAACTACATATATATTTGTTCCACATGGGGTGTATAAAAATAATAATGGAATAAATTAAAGCAAAAAATACACTGCAAATACAGTAAGTAGGTACATAGATTAGTTTCTGGACAAGGTAAGGACTAAGGTCTGGTGAACAAAAGGATGATGGAATTAAACCAAAACGATATTTGGCATATTGGCTCGGCCTTACCCTACTCTAACAACTGAAAGTCTTAGTATCAGTTAAAATTCATTAGATGGCATTGATTTTTAGCTGTCAGAAGCCAAAATCCAGAGCCAGGTAAACCGTAAAGGTGACACTCACGAAATTCATACTCCCCTGACACAATAAGGTAGTAAAACATAGTTTTAAATGCAGCCCTGCCTGGAGAAAAGGTAGCATCAAAGGATACAGTTTCCGCAGATGAAGAGGATGATGAAGTAAATACAGACCAACATTCCTGGAAAAGAGGGGCCGCCATAAGCCATGATCCCATCATACATCACCGAATTCCAGTCCTCCCCAGTCAGGATCTAAATGACACATTCCCACCAATAAGGGACACAGTGTTAGACCACAAAGCAAACCTGAAAACCCCATGATAACAAAGAAACCCCACCCTCTCCTAGAGAAACTCCCCGGGGGACTCGAACTGGTGGATGTATCCAACCAGAAAACAAAAAGGAGCTGAGAGGGCCTGTGCTCTGAATGTCCAGATGTTCCCATGAGGTCTGACCACTAAAGCCAGGCAGATATCCAAGCCAGTTCTGTTCAGGTTTCCTGGCCATTTCCATATGATGCCATGGTGTGCCTGTTTGCATCAGTCAGACTGCTGAACTGAGTGCTGGAACAGAACGCTCAGCACAGTGGAGTAAGTCACAGCTACGTATACCTCTGTATAGCAGGTGATTTTCACTTCCCCTCACCATGGACACAAGCTAGCTATATCTCTGCTCTTTTATGAACACTTGCAAAGCTGTAATCAGAATATAGATACTAGATTCCCATTCTGGTTTTCTTGAATCTCTTCCTCTCAGACCCAGCAGTACTTTGTTAGGGCAGAGAACTAATGCAGGGCTACACTGCGGTTTGCTAACCTTTGACAGGGTAGTGCCTATCTTCTGGCCTCACCAAGTTAGGCACATGAAGTTTGACCTCTGCTATAGACGGAATTCAGCTCAGCTCCTAACCTTGGCCACCATCTCAGCAGCTGCAGAACTTGCTGTCATGGATCACTTTCTGCAGCAGACTAATTTAATCTCAGTCTCACTGAATACCAGTCTGCACAGGAATGATCCAGGCCCTTCTCACCCCAATAGGAGCCACACACGAGCAGACTGTCAATTCCTTGCTAGAACTGTTGTGACTCATACCTGAAATACCGTGAGGAGGGACTGGGGGAAGTTATCGAACGTGCTCCTCTTGGTTTGCATCTCATCAAAGTTAAACTTGCCCCCAAAGAGCTGCATTCCCAGGAGTGAGAAGATGATGATGAAGAGGAAGAGAAGCAGCAACAGGGAAGCGATGGAACGGACTGAGTTCAGCAGTGAAGCCACTAGGTTACTCAAGGAATTCCAATACCTACAGGAGCCAAAGAGAGGTGGTTAGGATTCGTTTCCCAGGGCAGGTGCTCATGGACTGCATCAGATATTGTTTCAGACTGCCTACTGCATATAAACAAGCATTTCCAAACACCCTGTTAAGCAGTGAATCATCCATGTGCTTCCCTGAGATAATGAGACCTACTGCAGTAAATGAGTAATTTTACTACCACACGTGTACGTACACAATTCCCCCCCGCCCCGGCCACACACACAGACAGAAGATTACTGCAGTGCTCTCAGACTAATACGCTGCAAATCTCTTATCAATATACAGTGATTAGTTCTTGTTGCTTCAGTGAGTTACATTCTAACCAACCTCATTACAACACTCACAGCTGGTACAGCAGCCAGAATACCTGACTCCAGAGAATGGCTCTGTAATAACGGACAAGAACAGATGGGGAAACTATTTGGATGCAAATACAGACTTGTCCAAAATCCGGTGTGTGCACGTGTGCGCGCATGTGCTCAATCTTGGAAGGAGGCCACTAGGCTTTCTGGTGTTTGGAAGCCTGGGGTAGATACTCAGGGCCATCTCCTCCTCCCACACCGGTTTTCAATAGTGTAACTCCATTGCCTTCAGTGGAGATACTCCGGAGATGCTTCGGTGTGATATCAGATTCAGGCCTCAACAATTCCTTTGCCTTTTGCTTCTGCGAACTGCACATTACCACTGTTCTTTGTGCATCAAACTCATTAAATTGCCTCAGTACATCTTTAAAATGCTCCTAACTAGTTCCAGATTGACATTTTCTAATATCACCCTGGTACCTTGGTGCCAGTTGGATCCCGATGTTAAAAATCAACAGAACATTTTTAAAAAGCCTTTGAGACAGGCATACATTTCATGGACATTACTAAGATGAAGCCCATTTATTGCAATTACTGACAGAAGAATAAACTGTTTGTGACAGTTCCAAACCCTACATTCCAAACCCTTTTATATAATGATATACAATGTTGACTGCAGCCATTAAAACAACTAGTGTTAAATTGATAAGATTGGTAATTCTCCTCCCCACCCACTGTATCCATATATCAGTGATGGGGTCAGAGTGGGGACGTTGCAAAGTGCCTTCAACCCATTGTGTGCCCATTCAGGAGAGCATCCAAACTGCCTGGGGGCTCACAGAGGTCCAAAAGGAACAGGGAGAAGATGGGCTGTGGCCATACTTTGCATTCCCTCTGCACCAAACTACAGAACGGCACTGGCGTGAAAACGGGCTGCATTATGGGACACAGAGTGTCCACTTTGAAGCAGCTTCCATGCTGCCCTCTTGGCTGCTGGACACCTCCCACTCCACTTCAAGCTCTGCGGTGGCCCCTTTTCCTATACCAGTGTTACCCCAACAGCAGCAGTTATGGGTCTGACAGCAGAGCTGACCTGAAACCTGTTATCCTTTAATCACTCCCTCTAATCACACACACGGTTGGGTCTCAACAAGTTGCACATCCTCCATAGCGTCCAGTCATGATCTGTCAATCTGCCTTCCACCTGCAGATCCTTCATCCTTTGTTACTCTACTAATAAGTGACTCCCCCTGCATACCTCCTCACCCAGAAGTTCAACACTGGCCAATACTGTCCATTCCACAGCAGCTATTGTGGACTCAAGTCTCATTCTGAAGTTCCAGTCACAACTTCTACATAGACATAGATAGGAGAGGAGCAGGCATCAGCAGCTCTATATCTCCTGTCTTATGATGAGGGAGTCCATTCCTTCTGCTTATGGATCGGGCACCAGAAGAGCATTAAGTCCCATGTGAGTGGCCTGGAACATTCTCTGAGCATGACTCTCTAGATTTTTAGGTTACTGTGCATCCCTTGGATGAGCTTTCATTTGAGCTTCTCTAACTGTAGGAGGGCACAGCAGAGCAGTCCTGCGTTGTTGGAAAGCTAATTCTAACCACACACAAACAGAGAAATATTACATTCCTTAGACCCTCCCCCCCGGATTTAAAGCACTGAAAAAAGGTTTGAATCATATGAATGCCAACAATCTGGACTCAGGTGCCTACCATCTTGGTTGATGGTCCAGGGCACTCGGCTAGGAATTGACAGTCCTGGGTTCAATTGCCTGCTCTACTGCAGATTTTCAGTGTAACCCTGGGCAAGCTACTTAGTCTCTCTGCCTCAGTTCCTTTTTTGTAAAATGGGCATAATAGCACTTCCCTACCTCAGAGGAGCATTATGGGATAAATACAATAAAGACGATGAGGCAACCAAGATACTATGGTAGCGGGGGTGGAGGGGGGAGGATTTAAGTACCTTAGGTAGACTGGGATGTAAGAACATATTAATCCCTGGTTTAACCCTATTGAATCCAACTGGAGTCATATGGTGAAAATCTCAGGCACCTCAGAAGATTTACACCTAAAAGGCACTAACAGGGAGGTTCTTCCAGTATCCACCTATCACTCGTTTCACAGAAGCATTCCAAGAAGCAGGTGATATTTTCTAATTCTACATTAGTCAAGGAAGAAGGTGAGCTAATAGTTGTTTTTAATCTCTAAAGTCTATACTTTAGTAAATTTCACATATGATCACTAATGGGGAAATTGACACCTATATAAAAGGTCAGCACACAGCCTGTGCACCACTCAAGTCCCATTAACCACTTAAAATAGGGTTTAACTGAAGAGCTTGGACTAAAATCAGGAGTCCTGATTCCCAGTATTGTGCTTTGAAAGTCCCAAGATTCTTCTTCCCTGTCTTTATACGCCTTCAACTATGGCTTTTGTGATACCTGCAGTCTCAAGATACGGTTCTTAAAATGGTGGTAATGATGGTGGGCTGTCTACACTAGCACTTCCAACATTGTTCACCCAACACAGACACTTCATTGGAGGCATAAGAACCCTCATTGACTTAATAGAAAACCAACCATGGACATCCAGTGGCAGGATTTAGCTTTAAAATATGAATCTAAGTTTATAGTTAGGAAATAATGGATTACTTTTCAGTTTATATAAAGGAATAAATATAGGGTTTTATAAAGCCATCTAGAATAGCTCATTTGACAGTCATTTGACTTCTCTCAGCATGGGAAGATATTCTGTACAACACTGTAAAAATTAGAGAGAACAAAACAAATAGATTATACTGCTGCTTCTTAATTTATGTCATGAAATAATTCTGATGATTATTTATAATCTTTCAAGTAATGTTTGCTCTTGAAATTCTCACAGTAGTTCCCAAAACTATGGGGTATTCATTCAACTGTGTTTTTATTTGCTCTATGGTATTATGGAGTAGTAGTCATGCTTTTCATATATGTGCATATTTTTGATGCATTGAGAGTTTGTCTACACTTGATACTTATCATGGAAAATTCACATAAATATATGAAGATTAAGTTGTCTAAGATATACCCTTGCCATCATATTTTCCATGATTTGTGCCTCTTTTTATCCTCTTGATTATCACTATTTCTACGTCCAGTATGTCTGCATGTCAGTCAGAAATATATATTTGACATATAGCATTACACTGTCATCTTTTCTGCCCTCTTGCTTTTTCTGGGATGGCATCTTACTTTATTATCATTCCATGCATGTGGCTTATTCCACCAGTGTCTATAATGTTAATGACACTAAATCATCACTGTGTTTAGAACTGAGTGAAGAATGGGAAAACTGGCAACTGTACTAGAAAGAACACTCACAAGAAGCAGGGTCTTGGCATATTTCAGTGTTTCTTTCTAATTTCCAGATGTAAGGGTCTGAATTCCCTTAAACACTCCCTGGATTTCTAGGCAAAAGGTTCCACATCTATGCCCCTTTTTCACAGAGAATTCTCCTAGCAGGATTGTAAACTGTTCTCACTCTCTCTCTGCAGGAGTGGAGAAGAGTCCTGAACAAACAACACTTCCTCTTCATCATGTGTTACTTCTTTTTCCGTAAAACCTGCTGGTAGAATGGCCTATCTGCATCCTATTAACTTAGGCCTGGGACAGGCACCTTCCTTAGAAACTCGGCCAAGAGATCAATGAGCCATATCTAATTAAATTTTGTCACCCTTTGCCTTTAGTCCCAGGGATCCAGAAAGAAGACAAACTCTGCAGATCTGGGCTCTCCATTCCTCCCGGGATGCTGAATCTAATAGTTTATTTTTGCTAGTTCCTATTCCATGTATCTTCGCTGACTCTTCTAAATAGGCCACCTTCCTTTTGAATAGTCACAGCCTTGCCTTGGCCAATGTCTGAACTGTCTTTATGGCTGTAAACCTCTTTTCAGCCCTTGACATCTGACCTTGAAAGCCATCCACCCTTGGCAGTAAGCTGAACCATAGAAACTTCAAAGGTGTTTTTAATTTTTTTGGATTCTATAACGGCTGTTAAATTCAGGGTAAAACCTTATACTAATCTGGCATCCAAGTCAGTTGTTTTTGTCTGCAGCACAGCTTTGCCATCTTGAACGTCTTCCAGATCTGGTCTTGCTTTTCCTGTGCTCTGTGTTTTTATCTCCGTTTTCAGAGAGTTCTCCTTCTGGAAGTTTAAAATGATTGTAGGGCCATTTTCATACCCGAGTCTGCAGGAAAACCCATGGTTTCACCCCCACAATTGAAGCTTTTACAAAGTGCTGATTGGAAGCCCATATGGGTGAGCCTCAGACCCCATTCTCCATCAAGCGACCACTTACATGAATTTATATGGAAATCCTAAATCTGGATGAGTCAGAAGCTGACATTTCCTGTGACTTCACCTCAAGCTGGCAAAGTCCTGCTAAATCAGGTTTGTGTTTTGCAGTACCTGAGGGAACAGAATCACTGACTAGGAGGCACTGTGCCTTTGTGGAGAGGGAGGGAGAGAAAGAAGGGAATTTAAAAAAAAAGAGCTTGAAGAAGGTCTCAGTTGCTGCTGCCAGTGTGGGGCTCCCCTCCTCTGAGGGAGGAACTGGAATGGGAGGAGGAAGTGGATATAGTCCTCTCTCTGTTGCTGCTAGGGCTGACATCATGCTTCTCTCCATAGGGACTGGGGGAGAGGAAGCCACCAGGGTCCGCTCCCTGGTCTGCCTATTGTTGTGGCTGCTGGGGTTGGCAATGAGCTTCTCAATCAACTTTTTTCCCATTTAACGCAGCATTTCAGGCCTCCTTGAGTCACCATAAAGCAGCAAAAAAAGGGCACATGCTAATTTCTTTTTGATTTGACAGGGACCCTTAAAAGATGCAGCTTGGTGGATAACATCTTCCCATATTTTAAAACATTAACCTGCTTAGTTTAAAGTGCTTCCAATCAGGCTTGCTAATCACCCAGGAGGATGATTTCCCGTTTCTTCAAGTGATGCACCCATAGGTGCTGACTTTTTGGTTCCTGGGGGGTGCTCGACCCCTGCTTCACCCCGGGTCCCGCCCCTTTTCCACCCCTTCCCCCAAGTTCCTGCCCCCACCCCACCCTGCCTCTTCCCTCCCCCATTCCATCCCCTCCCCCCAGCGCCTCCTGCACACCGTGGAACAGCTGACTGCATTGGGCGGGAGGGGCTGAGAGGCAGGGGGAGGCACTGATTGGCGGAGCCGTTGGTGGGTGGGAGGCACTGGGGGAAGAGGGAAGCATTGGCGGGGGAGCACCCACCATTTTTTTCCCATATGTGCTCCAGCCTCAGAGCACCCACGAAGTCAGTGCCTATGGACGCACCTCCAATCTTTACAACTCCCCAATCTGTAGAGAAAGGGGATCAATTCTCAATGAACCCCTCACTCTGACTTCTCCCATTTCTTCCCTATGAAAGAGCTGATGTCTCCATCCCAAGGACATCCTTACCCTGGCATAAGGCACACAAGCACCCTAAATCCCCTGCCAACAGGCCAGTCTCAAACTGCTCCACTTTGGCTATGGAATTTCTGCTCAGCTGTTTCTTGTTCCCTTCCCTTCCCTTCTCCCATCCCCCCAAAAAGGTGTCTGTTTCTGCTCAATCGTGTGCAGGTGCCTTTAGTTCTCAGCTGCTCTCCAGAAACCACTGTACTGCCAAAGGTACACACTGCAGATGACTGAGCAGAAACTGGGATCGCCCTTTGGAGGAAGAAATGGTTTATATGAAGCAGTAGGTAGGATAGTGGATGGAGTGGAGCTGCTAGGAGATCAGTGATTTGGATACATCTGGGTGCGGAACAGATATCAAGTACCATATTTGTCCATGATGGTAATGCTCCTAGGCCTGTCCCTGCTTCATCCCCAAAATTGGCATCCATGGAAAACAGAAGTACCTTGTGATTTTAAATATTCTCAGGAGTCGGACGCATCTCAACACCGAGATGCCCAACGGTGACATGATCTTGGTCTCCACCAGGATGGTCTCCAGGATTCCTCCACAAACAATAAAGCAGTCAAAACGGTTGAAGAGCGATACAAAGTAGGCCTGGAGACCTAAGCTGTACATCTTCAGCAGCATCTCTGCCGTGAAAAGAGCTAGCAGCACCTTATTGGCAGTGTCTCATGAAAAAACAGATAAAGAATAATTATTATAATTTAACCCAAAACCACCACCAAAAATCCCACCCACTACTACCAGCAAAACAGCTGAGGTCAGAGTGAAAAGAGGGAGGACTCTGCTCAGCGTGCAGCCAAGGAAGTGGGCCTATGTGCTGACAATCCATGCATGAAAATGTTTTGCATAGAAGCCCTGGTTTCAATCACAACACTTCCCACATGCATGTATTACACAGCTGTATAACCTCCTTGACAGGAACTGTGCTTTCCAATGCACAACCTCCTGTCACACTTGTCATCTTCCGATGTACAGGTTACAGCTATTGGCTGCCGTGTTATCTGCTGTTGTTTAATTCAGCCTTTCAGCTGCTCTCATTTCCACTGAGGATTCAGCTGTTTATTTCTTAGACTAAGGGGAACTTCATAAATCATTCCTCCCTCCTCACCTCCCTTGTAACCAGAATGTATCATAAATGCCATTCGAGTGACAAACTGGGGAACTTACAGCCAGCCCTGAGAATCTACTCTTAAACTGGCAGCCCAAGTACTGCACACACAGACAGCAGTAAACTCCAGCTATGTGACCTCACCTGGATCTAAAGGAACTCTCTAGCTGGGTCCTAACAGCTGAGCCCTCAGTGTTCTCTGAGGCCTCTCATAATGCAGTCATGTATTTGAGATACTGTCTAGCATCCTCTGCAAATAGAGGATTGTATTTGTTTGTAGTTCAAGGCTGGGATTTCAAATACTGGGCCATCAGACCTCATTAACTCTTTCTTTCTCTTTCTCCTTCCCTGTAAGTTTGTTTGTCCCTTGGTTACAAGGACAGCAAGCAGAAGAACCACCTGCCTCATCTCACCTTGGACCTCTGTAAGCCAGTATGGCTGGTTGTAATGTTCAGAAGCGATGGTAAGGGTGTTGAGAAACACAAGGAAGATCACCAGCCAGTAGAAAATATTGGACTTGACAGCAGCTCGGCACTTCCTCCTGCAGAACCTGTTCCACCGGCGCCAGTACCGGCTTGAAACGGGAGAAAGAAAAAAGGGGTGAAAAAATGGGGAGGTGTAAGCCATTCCAAATCCCTCAGTTAAGTCCTTCAGCTTTCATTCAGGTGTATTATGGAGTCTGAAGTGATGACAGTGAAAGGCTTTTAAATCCATGCTGGGAGAGAGTCTCCACTACTGCTCAGGGTGACTACAACGTCTGAACAAAACCCGGTTCTAAACAAAGTACTAAGCTTCTCGGGTGGACGAGCCCTTTGAGCCAGTATGCCTTGGTGAGAGGAGGCATGTGCTGACCAGAAAGAAAAGGCCTCTAGAGATTTCTTGTTTTCCACAGAAATAGTAAGCTTTTGAATAACTGTGGGCCTGGTCATGGGTCAGATCCAGTGCCCACGGAAGTCAACTTTGAAAGTCTTTCATTGCCTACAATGGGCCTGGAATCGAGGCCCCCAGAGAGGTGCCGTGTGCCTGTGAGTCTCAGCAAAGAGTGGGAATGTCAAGTGCTCAGCACCTATCAGTATCAGGCCCAATAAGACAGCCAACTCTGTACTGAAAACAATGTCACAAAAGTCTATTTTCTTTGAGATCAATGGGGGACCTCAACATCTTCCCTTGTGCCTGTTGATAAGGATGCCATTTGCTAATAAACAGTACCCCTTTAAATTATGCCTTCCATGAACACAGCCCCTCATGAGTGTCACACTGATTTCTCAGGGTAATTACTAACCACAGAAGGTATTTAAAGCTAATTATACACCTCCTACTCTTCAGAATTTAACTTGCTTAGCAACCAGTTTCCAGGCAACTCTTGGCACTGTATAATACATCTAATAGTTTTTATTATATATATATTACATGACAAAATGGAACGGGAACTTTTCTTGGCTAGACCTGTCTCTCTCATTCCCTGTCCAGTGGTAAGCAGTGACCTCGTGCTAGGACAGAGTTCAGCACCTAGACACACCAGATGCAAATATTCCACAACTGCTTAAGAATCTTACAGCACAATTTTATCAGGTACTAAACTGCTAGGTAAAATACTAAAAAATTTTCTACGAAACACAAGTAGTTTGTGTGCGCTCAAGTGGAAGAGAGTCTAGAAGTGTTATTTTTGAAAAATGAGAAAATTATTGTAGTGCCTGGGTAATAGAGATACTCTGAAATCATTAGGAATAAGTGCATGAAGATCAAATAGCATTAATGCTGTGGTCTTGTTTTCCAGCCTTCATCTAGTCCAAAATGCGTAAGTGTATGAGTGTGCATGTGCAGGTGCGTGCGCTATATGTGCATGTATTTGCATATAGGAATACTTATGCTTTCCTGTGTGTCTACATGTGTCAGCATGCATGTACTGAACATGTGCATTCACATGTACTTGTGTGAATGTGCCTGGGTTAATATGACAATTCTACATTATTATTCACATCTCGTGTATGAGGAAGAAAACAGCAGTTTATTGAGGAAGCCAAAAAATTTCGTATAAAATTCTAGTGTTAGAAGTCTCGCTGGACTTAGAATTCAAAACCATGAAGCCAATATGGGTCATATACGGGAGAGGGAAATGGACTGGAAACCTTTTTCACAATGAACAAGTATATATTTATAAGCATGATGGAGTAAATTCTGGCAGTATAGGTATATGTCTGGTCAGCCCAGGCCCTCCACACATTTCTAAAAGCTGATAAATTATTAAGAATCAAACATCCAGTAGGGAAACTCTGTGGATCCTGCTACAAAAGGGTAAAAGATTCCAACTCTGTGCAGTGGTGGGATGAAGCCTAATTTAACATGGAAACCTTATCTCTTGATATATTTACCACTAAAGAGAACAGAACACTACCCAATGCTATGAAAAACAAGTCCTTGGGTTGGCCTTTCAGTGGAATGAATACCAGCTGATGATCTAACTGGTCTGTCTCTAGCTTTCTATAATTTGATGACCCAATGTTACCAATGGGGAAGCTTTCAGGAGTTGAGCCAACACGCCAGCAAATGTGAACTTCCGAGATAAGTGTCACCTTTAACTCTTGGGCCTTATTTCAGTCTAATATTAAGTAAAATGGTCACTGATTTTGGTGGATGATGACTAAAATCTATCAACATTGGGAATGGCTTAGAGCTATCCGTGTGCCATGGTGACAGTGAAAGATAATTTTAAAAGGTGGGATACAAACCAGTGGAATGACAAAAAAATATACTATATTTTACTCACCTAAACTTAGATTTGGAGATCCGATGCCTGAAAGATAAGAGTTACTGTTAGTGCTTCTAAATGAACTGTACACTCTAGACCTCCATGAAAACAGCAATAGAAAGAAATAAGAATAAGCACAATGGAGTCCCAACGCATACTGTTTTCCTCTTTGAACACTGTAACTCAATCCATGCCACTGGCAGTTGCTCTGGCAAAAGAAGAGTACAATCTTGTTAGTAAGAGGAACCTGAGGATTCCGTCACCTACATCATCAATGAAACAGCCCTTCTGTTATCTAATAGGTCATTCTGATGCCAAGGTTACCATAACCCTGTTACCAAATATCTTATACAAATGTGACCATCTTCTTTTTTCTTTTGTCATTGAAGAGTTAGAGTTCTCTGGATTTTACTTTTATATGAAATAAATGTATGTTAATATATAAATATTAGCACTTTGCCTTTATATAGCACCTTTCACCTGAGGCTCTTGAAGCACTTTGCAAAGGGTGTTGTTGGTGGTAAATATCATCTTCATTTTGCTGAAACCAAGGTATAAAGGGTTATGACCAACAACTTCACATTTGGGTGCCTACAGTCACATGTAGTCATGTAAATTAATGTGGCCTGATTTACAAAGACACTGAGAGCCAACAGTTTCCATTGACTTCATTGGGATTTGCGGGTGCTCGGCACCCTGGAAAATCAGACCACTTTCATCCTAAATATGTCTTTTAGTGTCTAATTTGAGGCACCCAAGTTTAATGACCTAGGTGACTTACTTAACATCATACAGCAAGTCACAGGCAAAACCAAGAATAGACTCCCAATCCTCTTCTCAAATCATTACACTACTCTGCCTGTTAACACACAAATGTAAAGTTTAAATGACCTTAATGTAGCTGCAGAAAACAACAATAACCAAATAAGAGCTCTTCAGAACATAAGGGGAATCTGCACACTCTCTAGTCGGTGAGAAATTACTGTTGAGTTGCATAGGAACGTCTCTTTTTAAGGCTCCATCTAAGGAAACTGATACACTGCTGATGATAGTTGTCAGCAAAAGGTTCCCCTGAACCAGCTTAAAAATGGTTTAGCTGCTAGCATAGATGGGACAAAATCATTATGGAGTCTTAACCATCTCTTAACCATGCTTTTTATAGTGATGTTAAAAATGGTTTTGTCCCTGTGCAGGAAGATCTGTCACTGACGGACCAGACACCAATGGGTCAGTTTCTTTATGTGGAAGGGATTTTAGAGATAGAAACATATTTCACCAGCAGATGGTCCAAATAAAGAAAAATCCTCTACACTGAATGCATCTCTCCTGCTGTGTCATATGCAAAGAAGACTAGGCCACATACCAGCCTGCAGTGAATATAGACAACACCACAAAAAATCTTTTTATAAAGAAGAAGAAATAATGTATCTTCTAATATAACACATTGCTGTAAAAAACAATGGGAACTTAAAAGTGAATGGGGTAATGAGGTACACCCAGAGGGTATCCTTAATATTATGAGGTTCTAAATACTATAATTTGGAAGAAGTTTTGTTTTGAAAAGCCATCTCTATAGATGGTACAATATGTAGATTTAATGAATGTTCAGATTTAAAGAATGTTTTAAAAGTATGACCTAAAACAAATCAGAATTTGTGAACATGCAATAGGAGAGAGAGAGCTCAGTCAGAGCAAGGGACAAGTCACAGTGGATGGAAGGAAGAAGTCAAAGGGTGTAAGAGAGAGATAGAAGGAGAGGGAGAGAGAGTGAAAGATGCACAGAGAATGAGAGGAGAGGTCACTCCTAGAGAACGGTAGGGAGGAACAAGGGAGAGAGGTGGAGAGAGGAAGATGTCATGAGGGAGATGACCAATGGAAGGTGAAGGACAGAAGTTTAAAGACCTCTGGGGACCCCACGGGCTGAATTCAAGTGTGCCTCCTGCTTTACAAAAAAGGGAACTATGTGGCATTTAAGGAACCTTTTATTTAGGTAAGAAAAAAGTTGTGGCAGGTGTTATACTTATCATGCATGTGATAATTACATCTCTGATGCACAAGGAGCTGCAGTAAAGTGCCTTCACTTCTCTGCCAGGCTAGCTAATAATCTTTCCACTGCTTTGGATGCCCTTCTGCTAGGGCAGAAGGTTTATCCCATGGGGGTGCTATCTATATATAGCACAGGTCAGGGAAGGAAGAAGATATTTTTATCTAGAGCCAGAATAGAAGGGTGAAATGTGAATTCTGAAAACATAAGTTGAATAATATGATTGATTCTACAAACATGGAAACATTATGTACAGTAGACCAGCTAGTCTGTAACACTCCTCTCAACTGACCCTTACTACCACAGGCCTCCTGCCTTTCAGAACCACAGTCATCCTTCTCACACAAAAACATGCTGTTCTATCTATTTCTATTGCTGTCAACAGACTGGATTCTGGTCCCTTGTTACAAACCCTTTGAGCCACTCCAAAATTACACGTGCCTGAGGCTCAGGGTGGACAAGATTTAGTGCTGGACAAAGTGATGAGTTTAAGACCAATACTTCACAACCCTATTATGTTAGGAGCTGTATGTCACTGGAAAAGAGAGCTTCCCAGTTTTCCAATGAAACACAGCTTTTACTTCTAGCTCTGGAAGGTCTTCAGATAGTGGACCTTACAATCCTGACATTTAAAATACAGGAAAGCTATTTTAGATCATTATTAGATGTTTTTAGAGCTCTCTCTGAGTAGAGCAGAGTTAGACTCATGCTAGTTTAACTCACCTAAGTTTAAAGAAGGAAGGACGCCAAAATAGTCCCCTGTTTGGTTTTTAATTCCCTAAAACTTTTCTAAAATTGTATCTCCATAAATCTGTAACACACAACAGATAGTATGTGGGGTATAAAGAGTTAATGAGTTCAGGGTGATCTGCATAAATCACAGAAATCTGCTATAGCCCAGATTCTTACTGACAAAAGCTTTACACAACACCATCACACATCAGACCACCAAGTATTCCATAGGAGAAAAACGGAAAGACGTTTATGAAGAAATGTGTGATACTCTGGTATGAAAGCTATATAGAAATAAAATCTATTGCACTGAGAATGGGGAGCATTTAGGCACCAATATAACTGTGCATCTACCAGAACAGCAATTCTGGGAACACCTTACAGGTCTCCAAGAATGTAATATTAATCATGATATTGTACAGATATTCTCAGTGTACAGATTTTACTAAAATATAACCATGCAATTATTTGGTCACAGCTATTACTATACTGTATAACCTCTCAAGTAATTATCTTCCTGATGACTTACAAACCCCCATGGACACAACTAAAAGCTCTCAGAACATCAGTAGCATAGAAATTCACTTATTGTAACTCTAGGATATACACAACTTTTGGGATATTCATCATATCCAAGGAGGTGCATTGTTCAGATCTGTTGTGACACTGATTGCATGTTGATATGACACAGGTTAGTGGTGCAGTTAATGGTCAAACAGCAAAACAAAACTTTCCGGGTAACATTTTTTCCTGGTTAATTTAAAGGTCCTAAAAAAATTCCTTGCTTGTTTCCACTCAGGACTTTGGAATGCCTGAAATAGAGACAACCACCAAAGATCCCATTTTAGACCTTTCATGGGACAAATGCCTGTGACAGGGCACTTTAGGGGGGTTAGTCAGTTTCAGGTAGGTACCCAGCAATAAAGCTAGTAAAATTGTTAGAGATGAATTCTGCTCTCAGATGTGCCTATGTAATTCCTATGGCAGTCACTGAACTAAGCTCTTCTTTCAGCTACATTCTGTGTAACCCCATTAACATCAGTGGAGATGCACAGATGTAAGTGATGATAGTAACTGGCCCTTTGTGTATTAATTAAAGTAAATTAATTAAAGTAAATTCTAGTTAACTGGGACACAGTACTGATGACAAAAGGACAGTTAACCTTGCTTCTAATACGGGTTCAGATATTCCCACGACTCCACTGTGACTTGATGGGAAGATCTTTACTTGACAACTATACTCAGTCTCCTGGCAGAATCAGTGAGCTGAAGCAGTGCCTGGAGATTGATGCCATTTCTCCTTTCCTGTTCTCTCCCTATAGTATTGCTCTGACTCCACGAGAACTGAAGAGCAACCTCGACCTGACTGGATGGACACTGAATTGTACTGGAGTGACAGCTGCTGACCAGCAGTGGTAAGAGACAGCAGAGCATCTCCATAAAATCATAGAATCAAAGAAGATTAGGGTTGGAAGAGACTTAGGAGGTCATCTAGTCCAAAACCCTGCTCAAAGCACGACCAACCCCAACTAAATCATCCCAGCCAGGGCTTTGTCAAGCCAGGCCGTAAAAACCTCTAAGGAAGGAGATTCCACCACCTCCCTAGGTAACCCATTCCAGTGCTTCACCACCCTCCTAGTGAAATAGTATTTCCTAATATCCAACCTAGACCTTCCCCACTACAATTTGAGACTATTGCTCCTTGTTCTGTCATCTGCCACCACTGAGAACAGCCTAGCTCCATTCTCTCTGGAATCCTCCTTCAGGTAGTTGAAGGCTGCTATCAAATCCCACCTCACTCTTCTCTTCTGCAGACTAAATAAACCCAGTTCCCTCAGCCTCTCCTTATAAGTCATGTGCCCCAGCCCCCTGATAATTTTTGTTGCCCTCCGCTGGACTCTCTCCAATTTATCCACAATCTTTCTGTAGTTGGGGGCCCAAAACTGGACGCAATACACCAGATGTGGCCTCACCAGTGCCGAATAGAGGGGAATAATCACTTCCCTCGATCAGCTGGCAATGTTCCTACTAATGCAGCCCAATATGTTGTTAGCCTTCTTGGCAATAAGGGCACACTGTTGACTCATATCCAGCTTCTCGTCCACTGTAATCTCCAGGTCCTTTTCTGCTGAACTGCCGCTTAGCCAGCCGGTCCCCAGCCCGTAGCAGGGCACGGAATTCTTTTGTCCTAAGTGCAGGACTCTGCATTTGTTGAACCCCATCAGATTTCTTTTGGCCCAATCCTCCAATTTGTCTAGATCACTCTTGA